GGGGAAGGGGCGGGGCCGGCCGAGGCTCCGCCCACCCGGCTCGGGGGGGCTCCGCCCAATGGGGTGGGGCGGGGCGGGGCTTCCTTCATGGCCTGGGGGGAGAGAACGAAATCCGCATTAATTTGTGCCATTTTGCATATATTTCACATAAATTTGCATATAGTTTGCATAAATTTGCATATATTTTACACAGATTTGCATATATTTTACCTATATTCGCATATGCTTCACTTATATGTGTATAGATCTGCATGTAGTTTGCATAAAATTGCATATATTTTACACAAACTTGCGTATGGTTCACATATATGTGTATAGATCTGCATGTAGTTTGCATTAAATTGCATATATTTTACACAGATTTGCATATATTTTACCTATATTTGCGTATGGTTCACTTATATGTGTATAGATCTGCATGTAGTTTGCATAAAATTGCATATATTTTACACAAACTTGCGTATATTTTACATAAACTTGCGTGTGGTTCACATATATGTGTATAGATCTGCATGTAGTTTGCATAAATTTGCATATATTTTGATTAAATGTGCATGTGGCTCGCCTATATGTGTATGAATCTGCATGTAGTTTGCATAAATTTGCATACAGTTCACATATATGTGTCTAAATCTCCATATAGTCTGCGTATACCTGCATATGGTTTTACATATTTGCATAAAGTTTGCATAATCTTGCATAGGATTTACATATATCTGTATAGATCTGCATGTAGTTTGCATAAATCTGCATATATTTTATATAAGTTTGCATAAACTTGCATGGATTTGCGTATTGTCTGCGTGAGGTTTGCATATATATTTGTATGAATTTGCACATAGCTTGCATACGGTTTGCATGTATATTTGTATGAATTAGCATATAATTTGCATAAATTTACACACATTTGTATGAATTAGCATATAGTTTGCATATAGTTAATATAGAGTTTGCATTGGGATTGCCGCGAAATTGGGAAATTTAACACCGAAATTTCAACGGCTCGCCCAAAATCTTCACCCAAAATTTC